ACTCTGCCACACAGGCACAAGTTATTTTCTGGTCACTCCTCCCATGTTTGGGCGCCGAGGCTCTTAGGAGACAGGCTTAATTTCCATAGTAAGCTGAGTAGAAGTTGGTAGGTGGTGGTTCCGAAGAATTAGGCGCCAGCATCCCTGTCCTCCTTCATCTTCCCTCCAGCTTCCCCCTCCCTTTCCTGTGATTGCTGCCATCTGGAGAGGGAGCAGCCGTGGTGGCCGGGCATGGACGGTGCTTCTCTTCCTGCCTTGGGTTGCAGGATCACTTATGTCAACAGTAGGAACAGATGTGTGTGTGTGTGTTGTGGAATTTGTGTTAGTGAAAGGAAGCGGGAAAGCCTTTAAAGAATATTCAATACAATTTTGGAGAGGTAATCTGTAATAAAATATTACTAATAGAGTCCCGTGGGTATTGGGTGCATGTTAGAATTTAGTTTATAACAAGCACTATTACTTGTATTTTTTTTCTGTATTTTTGTTGTTATGTATTTGGTTTGGGGTTTTTTTTTGGTGTATTTTTGTATAAAATAAAATTAATTTTTTAAAAAGGAACAGATGTGTGTTTGCTGCACAGCTGTCTCTAAAGCCTCTGTCCTCCAAGCCAAAATTGTTCGCTCAAATTATTCCTGCCCACCAAGAAAGTAAGTCCAGGTGTCCACAGGAAGGTCAAAAGGAGAACAAAGGGAAGCTCTTGCCAAGATGCGTCCAGGAAGTATCTGGGAACTTTTAGATGTCTAAGGAGAGCTAGAGAAAGCCAACAGTATGTTTTCAACACCTTAACTAGAATCCACCCCATGGCTTGAAAAGGAAGCCATGACAGTTAAGCTGTGACTACCTGGCTGAATCGTATGGGATTTACTGCAGAAATAAAAGAGATGCATTGAATTTTTTAGAAACAAACTGATCAAATGATGCAATGGTCAATGCAAAGCAAAACAGCCCCTTTTTTGCTTCCAAAACAGTCCCTTTCCCCCTGCTTCAGAGCTTCTACTTTTTAAAAGCAAGGTTCTCTTGTTCTTCCCGGATTTAAGCACAATAAAAATAAATTTTGAAAGGTCCACAAAAAGAAGAACATTTCCCGGATTTCCATCGGGGTGATAAGGAGAAGAGAGGCTATCTGTTAAACCAAAAGTTCCTGCCGTCAGCCTTTCTCACAATATGTCGTAACCGTTTTTACATGACATTTTGGATGCCGTAAGAAAGCAAACTGCTATTCGGATAGAAAGGATTCAGAGAGATACTTACTTTTACACTCCCTGCTCCGAGGATTGGCATAGAAGCCCTGGCCACAGTGGGAAACGCAGCGGCCTTCTTGCAGAAAGACGGAACTGTCACAAACTCTGCACGCACTGGATCCATCACATTCCAAGCATCCTTTAGGGCAGGCTAGGGAGACAAAGGAGGAGATGTCACAGTCCTTTAAAGGAAGATCAGAATCAACCTGCGGCATCGTCTTGTTTTAGAAAACAAAGCCACTTCTTTATCAGCTGGCAGATATACTTGGATGGTATTCTTGCCATGAGCAGGGGGTTGGACTTGGTGGCCTTGCAGGCCCCTTCCAACTTCCCTTTTCTATAATTTTCTATGTTACTTCTTTATGAAAGGTTACTTAGGCAGAGGTCCAAATGCAAAGGACCTGCTTATCCAACATTGCTCTGACCTCCCGGTGCAACAGCAACAAACTGATCAGCAAAGTCTTGCTCTTTCAGTTCGGGATGCATACATGGTTCTGCATGAGAACTGCAGTGCTTATGTGCTTGGCTGTATAAAGACGCACACGGCTTCCTGATTATTCCTCAGGACTTAATACAGTAGGATGCCTGTATCCATGGGAAATTGGCTCCAAGCCCCCATATGGATTTTGAAAGACGCGGATGAAAGCTAACATTATTTCAGTAGTGAATGCCATACATGGCAGGGTCTCTGGCTCCATCTACTGGCCAGTTCTGGTAATGACACCATATTTTCCATGTATAAGACACCCCCATGTATAAGACGCCCCCCCCCCACTTTTCTAACCCAAAATTAAGAAATCGAAGTGGGGCTTAGCCAGTGGAGGGGAAAGCAGGGATCAAAGCCCTGCAGGATCACTTTGATCCCTGCTTTCCCCTCCACTTATTTTTTTTCTCTCCTCAGCTTACCTCTGTGCATAAGACGACCCTCAATTTTTAGTCTAAAGATTTTAGACAAAAGTATAGTCCTATATACAGAAAAAAATACGGTATATTTCCCTAGCAAACTTTGTATGTAGTGTGGTCTCTGGCTCCTTCTAATGGCTAGTTCTGGCAACTTCATCTTTAGAAATATATATTTCTATGATTTCTCTTTTAATTTTTTTTTAACATTTTCAGACCATGAATCAAGGGATACTGATAGGGGGGTCTTATTGTACTTTTTTCATTGGCATTTCAATCCTACACATCAGCTGCTATCAGCTGACTTTTTTCACCATGCAAGGGTCTAAAGCTAGCTCTCCCTTACCCAGGAGTGGCAAGTCTGATCTCAATGCTCACCTCTCGAAAAACTTTCTCAGAGCTGGAACTGTCATTCAACATACCATCTGGTTTGATGCCACATGCCACACTACAACACGGAAGCCACATTTTCTTCCACTTCCCCCTCCCTGCTTTTTGTGCTCTAAATTCAGCTGTATTTAAAGATGGACCTCTTCTTTTATTCACCTGAGCATTTTTGCTCTCCACGGTCTTCATAGAATCGCTTCCCACATGTTGAGACACACAGTGAACCCATGAGGAAGAACGGAGCTTCACAGCGGGTGCATTCACCAAGAGCCTGACACTGGAGGCAGTGCTTGTCCTCACACCCTGAAAAGTCACAGACAAAAACTTTAAAAACCATTTCTGGACTTCTGCGCATTCCTAGAGCTTGCCATGTGGATACAAAAGTCCGAATTACTTAAGTGGAACCCTCAGTGACCTGCTGCGAGGACCATGCTAGGCACTTGGAGGAGAAAGTCACTCATGTTTTCTTGGAACTTGTCGGCACACATTTTATAGTGTCTAGGCTGATGTCCAAATGCACCGTCTAATCACCTTTTTTGGGTTCAGTTTCATTTGTGGTGTCCTGATGATGTGGACGAGGCACTTGAACCAGTCTATCCTACCACATGTTTACTTGACCCTTACCCATCACAGGTGGATAAGATCTAGCAGGGATGGATTGACAAGGTGGGTCCAGGAGGAGGTAAACGCTTCATTGCAGCAGGGAGGGAGAAACGAGAGGCTCATGTGAGCTCAGTGGCTCAGGCACGCAACCAGCACTTTGACAATTAGCCATGGTCTTTTCCATGACTGTCCCTCTGTATGTAGCAAGGAGAAACAGAATACTGGCCTATTAGTTCTAAAGGAAACCCCGAGACAAGGTGGCAGTTCTGACTGTGATCGATACTGCTTTCCCTAGTAACATTTTTGTTGTTTATTCCTTCAAATTGGAACATTTTATAATTTAAATTGGCTTCCCCAACTCAGCACTTTCCAGATGCCGTAGAATACAAATCCCATGATCCAGTCTCCGGTTGGGGATGGTTTTGTTGCCACAATTACTCCCCTCCTTCTCCTGGCTGCTCAGACGCATGCCATATCTAATGAACTAAAACACTTAAACCTATTAAAGCTGTTGGTAAAATTTAAAATAATGAGGAGATAATTGAATTAAGCCACCATTTTGAGTGCACTTCATCTTCATTGGTGCAAAAGTTAAAATAGCAGCTTAATTAATTTACAAATAATTTATTTATTTCTAGTTCTGTAAACAACTCAGATCTCACTGCTCTCGTTCTTTCTGCTGCATGAGTTCATCACACCCTGATTCCAGAAAAGCTCAAGGTAGCAGAGTTATGTTGTATGTGTAGCTTCTCTAAGTTGTAGCTGTGATCCTCTATACATTTACTTGCTTCTGTCTCAGATCTCACTGCTCTCGTTCTTTCTGCTGCATGAGTTCATCACACCCTGATTCCAGAAAAGCTCAAGGTAGCAAAAAAAATATTGGGCCACCACAACGCCTTCCTCACTGGTCAGCCCTTGGGTGTGTTCCCCAGGGCCAGTCTACCCATGACCGATAGCAACACAACAGACAGTGATGCTGACAGACCCACCCCAGGATCACCCATGGAGATGGAGGAGCCAACGTCACTGGGAAAAGATTGTCTGGAAGGCTCTCTGGTTTATTAAAAAAAAAAAACAATATTGGGCCACCACAGCGCCTTCCTCACTGGTCAGCCCTTCGGTGTGTTCCACAGGGCCAGTCTACCCATGACCGATAGCAACACAACAGACAGTGATGCTGACAGACCCACCCCAGGATCACCCATGGAGATGGAGGAGCCAACGTCACTGGGAAAAGATTGTCTGGAAGATAAAGGATTTGCGGGGAGCATCAAAACTCAAGTCACTCAAGATAGGGTGGGATGCAGGGTTTGGAAGAGTCTGGAAGGGGGGGGGGAGGAGGAAGGGAACCAAGGTAAAAAAAGATAAGACAACAGACAGTGATGCTGACAGACCCACCCCAGGATGACCCATGGAGATGGAGGAGCCAACATCACTGGGAAAAGATTGTCTGGGAAGTCTGGAAGATAAAGGATTTGCGGGGAGCATCAAAACTCAAGTCACTCAAGATAGGGTGGGATGCAGGGTTTGGAAGAGTCTGGAAGGGAGAAGGAAGAGAACCAAGGTAAAAAAAGATAAGGAAGAGCAGGAGACAAAGTGTATACAGGAGGAGGAAGAAAGAAAGAGCCGTGTGGAGGCCCCAGAGTGGCCTCAGCAGGAACCGCCTAAAGAGATCCTACAAACCTTGTGCCTCAGTTGACCAGTGCAAGTCATAGCACAACAGTGGCATAATCAACCTCCTGTCAACCCCACAACAAAGACATCTGTTCTGACATAACTGCAGAGGTGGAGAAGGCAGAAGCTGTATGAATACCTCTGGTGCCTAGAAGCAGAGCTGTTGGCCATTCAGGGTCTGCATAACTGCAGAGGTGGAGAAGGCAGAAGCCGTGTGGATGCCTCTGGTGCCTAGAAGAGCTGTTGGCCATTCAGGGTCTGTCAATCACATATAGAGTCAAGGATAGTGCCAAGGTCATTATTAGGACTCAACTACTCCTCAACCTAGAGCAGGTCTGAACAAGGCATATCCCAGAGGAGAATAGGAGGTTTATGAACAGTCAAGACAGCAGTATATTAGAGGGTTGGTTTTGTAAATAAAGTTGAGTTGAACACAATTTTCGACTTCAGCTCTCCCATCAAGACCTGTGGGATTCTTTGAATGCCCCCCCTGCTTATACAGGACTGGGGGGGGGGCATGGACATTTGCACATTTAAACAAGAGTTTAGAGTTCACCAACTGTCGAGTGTATGGCTTTTCACCAGTCAGTCAACAGAGAAGGACCAGGGCGAGAACTCTCAGCTTCACAAACTATCATCTTCATGGCTTTGGCTGCCTAGAACCAAAGCAAAATATCCACAGGACTGCCTAAAGGTAGAGAACTGTTATTCTTACCTCAGGGTGTGATCCAAAATACCATATACTCAACAAGAAATGAGTGAAAGTCTGTTATAATATCTGTCCATGAGTAAACTGTGTTATAATCTGACCAGGGAGAAGGATTTGGGTAACGTTCCATACTGACCCTACGCGTCAAGTTGCCCCGACTTACGTTGACACCTGTCGGATTCCCGGTAAAAAGCTGGCGGGCAGTGCCCCACGCAGGCGCCATCTTGGAGAACGTATCCGTCCATACACTGCAAGCAATCGGTATTCTGAGGCCCGTCGCAGGCATTGCAGCTCCAGTCACACTCTTAGAACAAAGAAGAAATGAAACATCCCTCAGTCAAGCCACTGTTTGCTCGCTTCACAGCCAGCCGTTTTAACATACCACACAGCTAGCGACTGCAGAGGCACTGAAGGGCAAAGAAAACAGAACAGATGTTGGAGAGGGAAGAAAACGCCTAAGGAGATTGTATTAGAATAACACCATTTTTTCCCCTCTGGGGTTCAACATTTCCCAATTATGTTAAACATGGGCACAGGCGGCTGTTTTTCAAAGGGCCGGCAAAGCAATTACCGCTGCTCCCCGCCACCTGAGTGCTCAGGGTTGCCACTGGGCAACATTGAGGCCAAAACATGTGTTACTCCCTGGTGGATTCCGCCACGGTGAAAGCATAAATCTCTTATCTTCCCCTCATGGAGACGGCTGGGATTTCCCACGAGCGCTGCTAATTAAACAGGCTGAACGGATGAGGAAGGTGACTTTGCCTTGCAGTCAAAATGGATTTTAAGGAAAGAACGGCGTCAAAATTAATAATAGGAAGGCAGAATTGTTTCTCATCGGAGTCTCCGCTCCAGGCAGCTGGCAGAGAAGCTCTTGGGAAAGGCAGGGAATAACTGTATGAGGCATAGGGAAAAACTACAGTGCAAAAGGGATTTGGGCATGGGAGGTGGCGTTAAAGTTTTGGCCCCCCATGTGGGTCTATTCCCAGGTGAAATCCAAGCTCAGTGGTTTTGGTATTTTCTGTTTTTGTTGCTCCGAAAGGCAAGGATAGCCACAGTGTCTTCTGATGTCTTCTAGGTTTGTTGGACTGTGGTCCCATCCTCCCCACCCACATGGCCAACAAGCACAGGAATGGAGGAGGCAAAAATTGGTGGAGAAGTAGGCCTCATGTATTACACTTGCTTCTCCAGCTGTAATATGAACATCTGTTTGGAAGGCAGATTACGATTCATCATGTTGTAAGTCTACATGTCCCCTTCTCACTCTCCAGAGACCAAGGGTGTCCATATTTGTGCTACCAGACAACAACTCCCAACATTTCTCAAGTACACAAACCCACACACGTTTGCTAGAAAATATCAACAGGGATAGGAAGAGACATGGCAATGGTAACGATCTCCAGCATATGCTACAGGCAGTGGAGACCACCTGCAGATGTAGAGGGGTATATTTTAAGTCGACAGCCAAAGCCACAACATTGCACCCATGAAAGCCAAGCCCTCTGATCATGTAAAACGTCAGTTCACTATCAACTACTTTGAAACCAAGCCTGGAAGATGTTATCATATGCATCAGGGCAAACAGGCAAACACAGTGGGTCCATCTTCAAGAGGTCCTCCAGCTATGACCATTCCTGGAGAGGGACAATCTAGCTACAGTAGTGGATGCACTACACTACCGGTTAGACTACTCTAATGCATTTTATGTAGGGTTGCCCTTGAAAACCACACAGATGCTATAAGGAATGCAATATGCAATATGCAGAAACTAGACAGCAAGCTGGAACACCAGAGCCCATGCAACACCAGTTCTGATAGACTTGGACATTTAGAGTAGGAGCGGAGCATAAGATAATACAAAAAGGTGTGTGGCACCAAATCCTATTGGGGCCAAAGAAGAAGAGTCACCCTTCTTGACTCTGCTGATCTATATCTTTTTCTACATTCTCAAGTCTACATGTGCAAAGAACGTGACTGAAGAGTCTTATAGCAACCTAGAGACTAGTAAGTTTTATTTGGCATAAGCTTTGATGGACTGCAGCTCACTTTCAGATGGGCATTGCCTCAAAATGCCTAATTGTATGGAAAACCCTCAGAAGAAAATGAACAGGAGTTGACGATGAGAACGACGTTGATGCATTTGAATTATTGCTTTGTAAAAAATATGAAAACGGGATAACCAAAACATTACTTTGAAGCCCCATTTTTCTTCTTAGAATATGCCACTCAGAACAGGCAGGATCTTTTCCAGGTGTACATCTTGAAAACCTTTCCTTGAAATATCTATATTCAGCCTGGCACCACTTCTAAGTCAAGAGAAAATTCCACTAAATTTCCACTTACCTATGTGTTAAAGAGGGGAGGATTTAGAAAGGAAAGCTCACTCATCCTTCAACTGAAGTGCTAGAAGAGTAAATTACAAATCCTGACCCTTGGAAAGGCTTGATGGTTTGCTTGCTCAATCATTTACCAGAGAAGGATTTACAATAATCCTGGTTTTTCACTGGAAGCTGAAGCCCATGACAGAAGATAACAGGAAGAAAAAAAGCCAAAGGAGGCACAATAGGGTAAAGAAGTTTAAAAAAAAATTGAAGAAAATGACCCCAGTAGAAGAGTTTGGTAGAGTTTTCATCCCAGTAAAACTGGTTTAAAGTTACTTTTTAAAAAGTTACCAGATTCCCAGAGTGCATGTGACCAGTGACCGTGCTGGCTGGGAGATTGTAGAAGGTGGAAGCTATTTTTATCAAGCTCTGGTGTAAACTAAACTGCTAAGACTGGGAAAAAATTATCATCGTTATTTATAATTTGTATTAATTATTATTTAAAATATCTTTGCCCTGCCTTTCTCCTTAAAGTGACCCATGGCGGCTTACAACAATTAAAAGACAATACCGTATTTTTCTGTCTATAAGACGCCCCCATGTATAAGATCCCCCCACCCCCACTTTTCTAACCACAAAATTAAGAAAGCTTCGAGTACTCAGCCTTTGGGCTCAGAAAGCTCGGACATTAGGAGTCCCTGTTGAATCTGAGCACTGCCTACAGGCTCCGCCTCCAATGAGGTGTGTTCCAATTGGTTTGTTCGGCATCAGCTGCCATCAGTTCCATAAGGCTTGTTATTGGAGGAAGCGAAGTCTCCTAACTGCAAGTAGCTAAGCCTTGTGATTGGAGGCAGCCTGTTTGCAGAGGCAAGGTATGTGCCTCTTTGTTCTCTCCTCAGCTTACTTCCATGTATAAGACAACCCTCAATTTTAGTCTAAAGATTTTAGACAAAAGTATCATCTTATACATGGAAAAGTACAGTATTTAGAAACTAAAAAAAGTGAGTATATCAATATTTTTTTAAAAAAGTAAATATGTGTTATATTAGAAATGGTCAATAACATCAATTCTAAAAACATGTTTAAGAACAACAGAGCACAACAATCCATTTTTTAAAAAGCCCCCTCAGGCTGCCAGTCACTAAGGAAAAACCTGCCTGACAAGAAAGGTCTTTGCCTGCTTGCAGAAGTACAGCAGAGAGGGGACCAGCTGGATGTCCAGTGGGAGGGAGTTCCAGAGTCTAGGAGTAGCGACAGAGAAGGCCCTCTCCTGTGTCCCCACCAAGTGTGCCTGTGGAGAAAGGCCTCCCCTGATTATCTTAATTCCTGGACAGGCTCATGAAGTCTTTTAGATATCTTGGACCCAGTACAATTATAATCATTATGATCCAACACAAGAATACGGTCTAAGTATTTCTTTCACCTTTGCAGGTCCTGGTGGGGAAATCAAGGTAGTACTGTGGAGCGCAGCTGTCATACTGGCATTCCCCAAAAAGCAAGACTTTGGACGGGTCTCTGCAGGATGTGCAGCTGGTTTCTGAATCACAGCTCAGACATGGGCCACTGCAAGCTGGAAATGGAGAAAAAGACATCAAGCAGAGATAAAGACATCAAGCCTGTTAATCTGAAGATCCAAAGAAATATACGTGTGAGAAACAAGACTTAAAAGTCTCCCATTCAAAAAGCCTGCTTTAGCTATCCTGAGCCACTGCCTCCCCATCTGCTCTCTCTGCAATACAGAGACAAGTTCTGTGCTGAATTTCACAGCTATACCCTACAGAATGTGCACTGAATGCTTCAAATCATTCACTCACAATTTGGCTTCGGTAGATATCTATAAACTACTGTGCCACCTAAATCATAATCTTTACACATCCAAATATCCCATAAAGATGTCAGCCACAGCAAGATTTTTCATTTCTGTAGAAGAGTAAAAAGATCAGTCCAAGATATTGGTCATGGAGTTTAGCTTTTAGACTCAGGACTTCCTCCGAATAGAGTGAGGGACTCCTTGCGTGAAGCACCACACACAGAAAAAGCTCTCCACTTGCACAAGACTTCCACACCTGAGGAAAAACTTCGCCTTAGCCTATAGAGCTCTGCATGGGAAGTGAGATTATGACCTGCAGCCATTCTGATGGGATGCAGTTCAAGAAAGGAGCATCGGTAGTCACTGTGAAATGTTCATTCTGTGCAGAAGAAGCAGGAAATCATCAAGAGATAGAAGGATGTCCCCTACAGGGAAAAGCTATAATTGGTAAACATTTAAATAGGTTCGTCAAATGGACCAAAGTGGGGTTAATCTTTCTAGTAAATGTGGTAGTAGCATTTTCATGGCATGATTCTAAATACACAAAACCTTTTCCATACAAAGTTTTCCCCCTCAAGGTTATGCAACTCTTTATCCACTGAGACATTTCCTCCTCTTAATACTCCATCTCAAAATCTCTTATGTATGTAATTTCCTACACTACAAGATCTGACTCATTTTATCAATTCTAGAGGGGCACTACAGATGTTAATTAGCATTTGCAACACATCTAAAAATGATGTGTGGGTTCACAATGTGAAGAAATAGCTACTAATTAGATGTGTGATGAGGTACATTTGGAAATTTCAAAATATACCGGTGACACATTATTCAAACATGACAAGGAAAAGTCAAAAGAAAATGTACACTGTAAACGACTTAAGACATAGCTGCTAGATTAACATGACTTGAAAAATATATTTAACATCAATAATAGGCCTGCTTGTGCATAAGTTCTTGTTGTTTAGTCATTAAGTCATGTCCAACTCTTCGTGACCCCATGGACCAGAGCATGCCAGGCCCTCCTGTCTTCCACTTCCTCCCGGAGTTGGGTCAAGTTCATGTTGGTAGCTTTGATGACACTGTCCAACCATCTCATCCTCTGTCGTCCCCTTCTCCTCCTGCCTTCACACTTTCCCAACATCAGGGTCTTTTCCAGGGCGTCTTCTCTTCTCATGAGATGGCCAAAGTATTGGAGCCTCACCTTCAGGATCTGTCCTTCCAGTGAGCACTCAGGGTTGATTTCCTTCAGAACGGATAGATTTGTTCTCCTTACAGTTCAGGGGACTCTTAAGAGCCTCCTCTAGCACCACAATTCAAAAGCATCAGTTTTTTGGTGGCCATCCTTTATGGTCCAGCTCTCACTTCCATACATCACTACTGGAAAAACCATAGCTTTGGCTATGCGGACTTTTGTCGGCAAGGTGAGGTCTCTGCTTTTTAAGATGCATAAGCTCTACACACATACAAAAAACTAGATTTTCCAGGGTTTTTGCATGCATGAACAGTCTACATGTGAGAAGAAACCATGAAACCATGAAGAATTTAACAGCAAAAGGAGGCACAGTTAGGTACTCCCCTCCATGCATGTTTATGGTGCCATTTATTACATTTGATAAGGGCCATAGTCTTCTCCCAAATCCAGAACCTGGACCCACTTCAGTTAATAATGCCTGGAATCCTGTTAGGCAACTCCACATGTATAAAGCTGATGACATCACCATCATAGTCAAAACCAAGCAGTTTGTTGTTGCTTCAGGTGACAAGAACCAGTCAATTATGATTAATGTTGATTACAATTTCAAGTCTTAACAATATAGAAACAGTGGTTAACTAAAAACAGAAACAAAGCTTCAGGACCAACCTAAATGACCTGTGTTCAGAAACCCATGTTCACTTTCTTATGGTGACTCAAAAAATACTTGAATGCATTTTAATACTTAAGGGAGTATTATTTCTTCCCAGGGAAAACCGTAAAATTTCCATTTTGTCTTGCTGCAATTCCTTAATTAAATAATAAATGCATATGATTGTCATAAGTTGACATAACCCGACAAGATATAGTAACAATAGTTACTTTTTACAAAACGTTGCATTCTTTTCCATGTATATATGTCTCTCTGTGTGTGTTATTACATACATGTATGTTCTCTCTCTCTCTCTCTCTCTCTGTGTGTGTGTGTGTGTGTGTGTGTATGCACACATTCACAGATGTCAAAAATTTCCAAAGGAAGCCTTTAATTACTGGTGATTTGTCATTGCTGGTGACATCATTCTCCTTGCACAGACGGAACTGCATATCAAGATTTCAACCAAAGTGTCATGTCCTCCTATAAATATCATGCCTGTCCCAGAGGCTTTGTCTACTGTTCACACATCAGTTCTTTCCTAGTTAGAAGGGGTCGCAGCACCTGTAGGGCCTGGATTGTTGTCACAGAATGCTATGAGAGTTTAAACGGTTATTTAATAGAGTTCCTTTTCCATTCACTAAGGAGCAACATTATTTTAAAAAAGCAAAAGATGATGGCACATTCTGGATAAATAAGTGAGTCACTTTGCCCTTGGATGGATTTGAACAAGGAGTGGGACGTTTTAAAGCTTGCCCCTGCACCCTCACTTAATGCAATCACTTAAATAAACTCTACATGGTGGCAGCGGTGGGACCCTAAATAATCAAGCAAGCTTAAAGTTCCACAATATATAGAATCTCCTGTGAGTTTTATCTCTCTCCTTGCATTTGGGAAAAGAGGGGGTGGCCTTGTTGTTGGCACTGTTGGACAAATGGAAGATGGAAATTTTACTGAGATCTTGCAAATGACCTAACATTTGTACCACCTGATCTCCCCCCTCCAAAATTCTGCAGCATGATCACATGAAAGAAACAGGACAAAGAAGCAGCATATTCTGAATCACACCATAGAGAAACACCTACATTTGCAATGCAGGTTCTTGTCCTTGTAGAATCCGAGGAAGCAAGCCGAGGTGCAGCTGCCCATGTGAGAGAGGACAAGGCTGGAGTCACAGGAAGTGCAGGCGAGAGGGCCTTCCCCTTCACATGTTTTACATGAAGGGTGGCATTCTGGAAAGGAACACAAGGAGGAAAAGGGAATTTGTGAAGCAGGGTTTCTCAAAACTGGCCACTGGAGCATCACCATAGTCCATGTATACAGCCTGCATCTATGGAAGGAATGTTGGACTTGGCCTGGAGATGGTTTGAGTTGGAATCCTGACCTAGATATGAAGTTCACCATGTTATCTTGGTTCAGTCACTCTCTCATAGCCTCTCTGAGCCAGAGTCTGGCAAAAATAAAAATGGATAAACCTTGTGCCAGTAAGGGCAATGGCAATAACAATAAGTGTTGCTTCTACTGGGGTTTCTGCCAGTTTCTGCTTTTGTCAAGGCAAACACTCAAGCCGTATTCAGGCATTATAAATGCTGCTGCTGTGAACAACTTAAGACAGAGCCCCTGGCCTCAACCCCTTTTCACATACTTCACTGTTTGAGCACTAGATCTGAAGGGGAAAAAAGTTCCTGACATCACGAATATTCTGCATGTATGCAAAAACCCATATTGTGCAGGCTTCTTGTTCACACACACAGTCTATATGTAAGCATGGAGATTTCCTCCTCAAACTGCAGTGCTGAAACCATAAAGACAGGAAGGCAGAGCTAGGCACTTCCCTCTAAGTGTGTTCAAAGCACCACTGATAACATTAATAAGCTGTTTGACAACCAGAAATGGCACTTATTTTAATTATTCTGAGCTAAATAGCCGTTCATTATGCTTTGGTCCCTTCATTTAGTTTGGTTATACTGGCTGTGGAATTCTGGGGTAAGAGTCGAAAACAGCAGCTTTTCCAAGCTCTGGTTAAAACAATGGCCAGAATCCAGCTGAAAAAGTTCTTCTGCTATAACTCTATTGCCATAAATGTAAGCTACAAATTGCTACAAGTTAAGAAGTCAGCACAGGCATTGGCTGCTGCATGCTGAATTGTATGACTGATATGCAACAGCCAATGCCTATGCTGACTTCTTATCTCATGGCAATTTGCAGATGAGATTTACATGGCAGAGTTAGAACAGTGGACATAACTAATAGGTTTCTGGCCAATGACTGCAAAACCATTTGGGACTATTTCACATTTCAAATTGTGCATGATTATTTCTCAAGATATCTTCAATCTCAGGTTTTTATAACCACAATGTATGATCTTGGAGTAGGGGCATTAAATGAAATCTTAATTGTATCCATCAATACATCTTTCACTCTTCTGGTAAATTCCACCCCACCCTTTCTCCATTACAGAAATCTGCAATGAAATCCCAAAGAATGTGTGGAGCTGAGATCCTAAACCAGGAGTAAGTAAATAATGCCCTCCTCTTTTTACGATTCTACGAATAATCCTGCAACTATGGTTTCTGTGAGTGCCTGTGTACGTTGGAAATGTGTATCTGATGCAAAATTGTAGACAAGCAGAGACAGGTTTCCCTAGTTTTAAGGCATTACTTACTTTGACACATTCTGTCAACCCTGTAGTATCCTGCAGGACATTCAAGGATGCAGTGGTCCTTGAGGAACAAGTGATGGCTGTTTTGGCACTTCAAGCAGATGCTTCCTTCGTCCTTGAGATCCGCCACACATTGACTACACAAGGAGTGACAATCTGCAGAAAGGAGAGGGTACCGTTTGTACGGAAGTGAAAATGGCTTCCTGAGAAGACACTTTCCAAAAGGAAGCAGAGCCTCTGATTAGCCCATATCGAAAGAAGTTACAAATAAGATGAGTTTCTGAGTTCCAGAGAACTCTTCGTCAAGCAAAGATGGTATCAACCCTGGGGGTCAAGAAGAAAGTCCCTTAATCCTCCAGAAAGGACAAATGTCAGGAACAGAACAATCAGGATATGAAGATCAACAAATTTCATTAGAGCCTTTTATGCAAAAATGCATGCCCAGGGGGCAGAGATTTAACAAAGAAGGAAATTGTGATTATTTTTTTAAAAAATTAATATTTATATACCACCTTCAGTATCACACTTGAAAGGAACAACAATTCAAAAGTGGCACAAAAATCTAGAAAACCCCCAAAGCTTCAGTTCACTAAGTATTGAATCGCCAATGTGTGTCCCCATAAGTGCAGATTTCAGAGGTGCCAAAGCAACATCAAAGTTGGAATTTTTAACAGGAGTTAATTGTGAAGTGCCATAACAGAAGCAGTCCACCCATTGGTTGTTATCAGATGCACATGAACAGCAATGGAACAATAAAAAATATTTCAGAGGGCAGACAGATGGATTACTCTAACAAGGCACCGTACGCAAAGAGAGTTTTTTGCTGGAACTCTGGCTTGATGGGCAAATTCGCAGGGATAAAGGCACCTTTGAACTGAGCCCTAAAAACAGAGTGGCAGCTATTACAGATATTGCAATGATGGCCAGATAAGTCCCCAAAGGCTTCCATTTTCCATACCAGCCAAAAGGTCTCTTATGAGAGCAAACGTTTGCGCCAGCAATTTCCGGAGCAGTGTACAAGCAACATCAGGTTGGGCTCTTAGGAAGGCCGTTATCAGCAATTACCAGATTCAACATGGCTTTTCTTTCCTGCTTCCCACAGGATCATCCTGCTTTTATCTTCAAGCACTGCGGTGGTGAATGAAGTTCCCTCTACTTGCAAAAGCCAATGCTTTGCTTCAGTGATTTGGGTTCTTCCCTACTCCCTTACCTAATGCAAGCGCAGAATACGTTTGCCTTGAGAAGGCCATGTGGAAGCACAGCTGCCTTTGTACTTCTGCATCCACATGTCCTTTGCGCGAACTACAGTGGTACCTCACAAGAGGAAAACAATTTGCTCCGTGAGTCCCTTTGTATCGCGAAAGCACGGTTTCCCATAGGAATGCATTGAAATTGCCTTCAATTCATTCCTATGAAGCGCCTTGCAAGAAGAATGCCTTTTTTCGTCTCACGAAGCATCAATGCATGATGAAAAAAAATCATCTTGCAAAGCACAGCCATAGGAAAAACTGTCTTGCGAAGCGCCTGGGACATCACAAAATGCTTTCGTTTTGCGAGTTTTTCATGGCGCGAGGCGTTCATCTTGCGAGGCGCCACTGTACTCTGCTTCTTGAGGACAGTTTTGCAAATGTATGGCATGCACCCAGAATGGTCCAAGGTAAGAGAAGATGATATTGCTGGCTTCTGGTAGGAGAGTGGCCAGAGGACAACGGTGGAGTCTGCCAAATATGGTACTTTTGCTTCAAATGAACCCCTGGAAACTCCTTGGGTTGCCTCTTGCCACATGGATACAGTTTTGTGCTTTGTGTTTTCTTAGAAGAAGGAATACAGCTCACTTATAATTACCTTGTATTCCAATGCAGAACTTAGAGAGGTTTGTTTTCGGATGACACCAGCACTAGACAAGAGCCATTCCACTATGCTGGTTGGGGGAATGCTGGCAGGTGTAATCTCAAAAGTAAATTTTTCCATGCATAAAAGGGTCTCACAAAGACCTGCAGGGACACCTGGAAGAGTTTCTACTAGCTGCACACAATACTGGAGTAAATGACCAAATGGTCTGACTCTGTATAAGGCACAGATGTACAATACAAAAGTACCATTCAAGGGAAGGTATCTTGGCCCCGAAGCTTCATCAAGTTTAAGGAACTTCCAGACCACTCCTAATTGACCAAGATAGACTAGGAAGGCAACGGCTGTATAAGAAAAATTGTACAAAGCTGCCATTTTTCTTGTGTTTTCCTGTAATCCCTGGGATTGCTCTTCTTCCAGGACACTCGAGGCAGGTTGTCTGCCTCATGAGCACGGAATTTGCAGCAAGTTGAGGGAAGCCTCAAGCAACCCCTCCTTTTCAGCAGCCCATCAACAAAATGGCGCCTGACCTTCCCCTGAACCAAAGAAGTTTCAAAAGGTTTTACAAGAAGTCTTTTGTGTGCGACGAAGGGACCATGTAAAGGATCCTGGACGCCAAATTAATCCTCATTACCGTGATTCAGAAAATTATAAGGGGAATGATGGCTGTCTTGAAAGCCACGCCGTCACAATGCTTCCTTCGGCAACGACACAAGCTTGATGTCAGGTTTCCTACTGGAAGTTAACCTCATCTCTTTTCTCTTTTCTGAGAGGTTCACTGTAACTGGATGACAGGAACTGGAGATTCTGCAAATCATATCTGGCATTTCAATAAGTGTCTGAGGAAACTGTCAGCTCAAGTTGCAAGGACCATGAGGTGGCCATGAATGAACAAAAGCGATCTCTACCCTTTTGAGTTGGGCACAATCTAGGCTGAAAGGAAGGGATAATCTCATCCAAAGATAGGAGACCCTTTTGGCCCTGCTCATATCTCTGAGAGAGAAAAGAACGTACTTAACAGGGTGAGTTCAGTGATTGTTGAAAATGCTTACTATTTGGCTGGCCAGCTTCCTGCCTAAGGGGAACAACAAAATGGCACCTTTTCCCATTCAGTGTACTAAAGCTGACAGAACTGGTGGTTCAATCTTTCTTCAACCCTGATTAGAGGGTTGTGTCATTGATTGTACTAAAGGGAGTTTGACTGAAAGGGTGCAGGGTGGGCCATGGGGTACACAGCTCCCACCCCCAACCGTTTACTGCCCATCCTCTTATATGCCACCTGAGGTGACTGCCGGGCCAGCCCTACTGACTGGATCCAGTCACATTATGGCTAGGGGGTGAGTTTCTGCCAGATGCAAAGAGTGCAGGAAGGACTGAAGTCTGGACCTTATGGTTTGCCAGATCTGTCGTTGGACTATCACTCCTACCGGGCCTAGCTGGCATCAGCAGTGGCAAGGCCTAATGGGAGTTGTAGTCCAACAACATCTGGAGGACCAAAAGTTATCCAATCCTGCATTAAGCAAATCAAAGGTCGACCACAAGAACCACCAACCCAGTTCTATCCCCTGGAGAAATCTGGCACACAGTAACCGAGCAGGTAAGTATTTGTCTATTTTGGATAAATTACAGTAGTGCTTTCCACTCACAGACAGGGTCAAAGAATAACATAAGGCAATGAAGTCCCATCTCCTGATTCAGCTAAGTTATTCTAACCCACATCGTGTCATCTGACGGGCTTCATTTCACCTAATCACTGTGCTAATATTTCCTTTCTATGGTTCCCTTCCGATTTTCTACCAAATCCTACAAAAACTAATGAGACTATAATAAACTACTTACAGTGAGTTAAGTATCTGGCTGTAGAGCCAGAAGTTGGGAGTTCGGTTCCCCCTTGTGCATCCCATAAGAGCCAGCCTATGTGGCCTTGGGCAAACTGCACAGTCCCAGGGCACCCCCAGGAGATGGGAATGGCAAATCAGTTCTACCAAGAAAACCTTGCAACGGTTGCCATAAGTCAAAACTGACTTGACAGCACACAGTTATTATTACTTATACTCAGTCTAGATGAAAGCCATTATATATACAGAGAAAGCACCAGTATTTTGCACTCAGCTTCAAACTTCTGCTTCTGTATCTGTAAATGTACCCTTGTTTGCCTTTAATCCTCCCAAATATCCTCAAAAAATTAGTTTCTCAAAGAGTTAAATGCCACCATATATACTTAGGTCTTCACAGCTTGCATGCCTCTGCATCCGTCTGTGCGTACACATTTTAAAAGTTATTTTTTTTCCAGAAGCCAGGCAGAGGAATCTCCTACAGCTCTGCTTTGACCATATAGACATCAAAGAACATGCCATGCACACCATTGATCTCTCCCAGAGGCAGAGAAAAAGTTCAAGAAGGAAGAGGATGGCAGTGAATTTGAAAGATTGGGGAAAAATAAACAGAGAGTAAGGGAGGCAAAAAAAGAAGCACTTTACATTGGGGGGACATATTAAAATGTTTAGCACGTCCTCGTCGTTGGACAAAGCAAGAGAGGAGAAGAAAGAAAAAGGAATATAGAATGCTCTTTAATGTTTCTATGCCTATATTTTCTTTCCATATTTGTCTTCATGGGCCTCTTCAGAAGGTCCACTGAAATCCACTAAAGAAAAATGCATTATTCTGCTTTGTCCCAGACACATTCACAAGCAGGGACAAAAAAGGAAAGAAATGCAAGATGATTCCAAATAAGATGCTTGCAGTCTGCAAAGGTCCTGAAGCACACATCTGCTCCAGATGTTCTTCAAGGGCAAGCCTGATTTTTATTTACTTGCTCTCCCTTTGGGAAATTGGTTTAAAATATGGATGCAATGTTAGTGGTGGCTGAGCTAAGCTGCTAACCAGCATCCCGAGCTGATGAGCTGAAGGAAAGGTGCCAAAGGTAGGATTGCTGTGTCTTTTGAGTATATGGTCTGCATTGATTTAGGATGGCAAAAAGTAAGGGTCTGAAAACCATGGAGGGGTCTCGCCTTTGGACTGATTGGGCAACAGTTTTCACTTACAGCTGCCAGCTTTGTCTATACATGCACGAGTTCTTGAATAGGGTTGAAGCCAAGCCCCCCTCCCCCATCTGCCTGGGACCTCATGAACCTTCTGAGTAGCTTTAAAAATGATAGCATGAAAGGTGCCAGCTCTACTGCATAGTTCACTGGAGACTAAAAGTCAAAGCATACAATTCCAGCATTTTTTGACCTAGACTAGGCACCAATCTTTTGAATTGTGGTATTGGAGGAGACTCTTGAGAGTCCCCAGGACTGCAAGGA